CACCTGGGATATGACTAATCGAGAATCACACTTCACCGTTATGCATTCCGCTCGCATGGCCGCAGCTATCCGTAGCCCCGACAACAGGGCTTCATACTCAACTTCATTATTGGACACTTTGAACAGGTACCGGTAAGCGTAGTACGCTCGAAACCCTTCAGGCGAGATCAAGACGATCCCGCCCCCGCAACCTTTCGTCCCGGACGATCCATCGGTCGCTAGGGTCCACCACTGTTCTTCACTATCTCTTTGTCTTTCCGTAACTTCCCTCGCCGTGCATTCCACAATGAAATCCGCAAGTGCCTGCCCTTTGATGGATGATCGGGGCTGAAATTCGACCTCGTACTGACTGAGAAGCATCGACCACTTCACGACCCGCGTCGTTCCCGGGGTTCTCAATGCTGCGCCCAGGGGTTGATCCGACAGGATTCTGATCGGGTGTGCTTGAAAGTAATGAGTCAACTTCTTCGCCGTGATGTAAGCGGCATAGATGGTCTTCTCGAGCGGGGTGTACCGCAGCTCTGCATTCTGTAAGGTTTTACTTACGTAGTATACGGGGTTCTGAATCCCGCCTTCCTCACGGACCAGCACGGAGCTGATCGCGCCCTGCGACACTCCCAAATACAATACCAGTGTTTCTCCTTTCCTCGGCTTGCTCAACAACGGTTCAGAGAGAAGATACTTCTTTAGGTCCTCGAATGCCCGCTGGCAATCATCCGTCCACGCAAATCCACTTTGTTTCTTGAGAACCCGGAAAAAAGGTAGGGACTTCTCCGCAGATTTTGACATGAAACGCCCAAGTGATGCCAGCCGCCCAGTGAGAACCTGCACTTCCTTCACCGACCTCGGAGGTTCCATGTCAAGGATTGCTCTCACCTTTTCGGGGTTCGGCTCTATCCCTCTCCGGGTGACCATGTACCCCAAAAACTTTCCGCCCTGGACAGCAAACATGCACTTTTTTGGGTTCAGGCGCAGCCGGACTGCCCTCATGATCCCGAAAATTTCGGCTAAGCCGTCAGCATGGTCTGTCGCTCATACGCTCTTGACGATCATATCGTCTACATACGCTTCCATGTTCCTTCCTAGCACTGTTCGAACCACTTTTGCAACCATTCTCGTGTACGTCGCCCCGGAGTTCTTCAAGCCGAAAGCCATGACTAGATAGCAAAAGATCCCCTCCGGTGTGATGAAAGAGGTTTTCTCCGCATCATCTTCATGCATGGATATCTAATGATACCCCCGGAATGCGTCCATGAAGCTGAGGAGTTCGCACCCGGCTGTCCCGTCAACTAGCTGGTCTATGTTAGGTAAAGGGAAGGGGTCCATCGGGCATGCTCTGTTAAGGTCTGTGTAATCGACGCACATTCTCCAAGTCGGGGGCTTCGGTGCCAGGACCACGTTTGCCAACCATTCTGGGTATAATACTTCCTTGATGTGTTTAATAGCCAAGAGCATAGCCACCTCCTTCTTCACGAAATCCCTTCGTTCCACCGAGAGGTGTCTTCTCTTCTGCTGGATCGGCTTCACCGTCGGGTCGACCGCTAGCCTGTGAACGGCCACACTTCGATCCAACCCCGGCATATCCTCAAGGCCCCATGCGAAGATCACACTGAATGTGACCAACACTTGGATGATCTTCTCTCTCATCCCGGCTGGGAGCCCCAACCCGATTTTGATCTTTCGCTCCGGGTGCCCGGGATCGATATGAACTTCTTCAACCTCAGAGGTGGGTTCAGCGCGGAGCTGGCCATCCTCATACTTCATGGCTTTGCTGTTGATAGTGTGGACCCTGAGGTCCTTTTGTCCGAGTTGTTTGCACGCCTTCATGTAACAACTCCGGGCCATCCTTTGATCTCCCCGAGCTATCCCGACCCCGTTCGGGGTGGGGAACTTCATACATAAATGCTCCTGAGAGATAATGCATCTCAAGTCCTCCAACGCGGGTCTTCCCATGATGATTTTGTGCGGACAGGTTAAACGTACGACAATGAACTCCAGGTTCAACTTTGCTACACAGGGTTCTGAACCCACCATCACAGGCAACACCACACTGCCTTCCGATTCGATTGAGTCCCCGGTAAATCCGGATAAAGGTGTTCTTACCGGACTCAGATCCGCCCCGCTCAGACCAAGGCCTTGGAATGTGTCGTAATACATTACGTTCACCGAGCTTCCATTGTCTACTAGAACTCGGTGAATTATTGTATTGTTGATCTCCACCTTAATCATTAAGCCGTCCCTATGCGGTGGTGGCATGGGTGGTAGGTCATCATCAGTGAAGTAGATCGGATCTCTTCTCATCTTCTTTCCTGCAGGTACCCGGGTAATTTCCCCGACGTACACGGATCGAGCCCATCGTTTCCTTTCGCCTGACGTGTCCCCTCCTTGGGGGGCCGCCCACGATGTAGGAGCATCTGTGATGCTTCCGGGCTCCCTCCCCTAGGTCGCACTCGTCATCCTCGGACAGAGCCCCGAGCTCGCGCTTCTTTGGAGGTTGGTCAAGGGGCTGTTTCTCTTTGGACGTGGTGGCTTGATCGGAACGCCTCCATGTCAGGTTCCTCCCTTTCTGGGCATTTCCCGGTTTTCCTACAAATTGGCCCAAATATCCTTGTTTGATAAGTGCCTCAATTTGTCTGCGGAGAACGATGCATTCGTCCGTATCATGCCCGAAATTTCGGTGAAACCTACAGTACTGGTCGGTGTTGCGTTTGGCAGTGACCACGTCACATTCCTCTGGGAAGGAAACCAAACCCTGCTCCTCGGCATAGTCGAGGACCGTCCCGACCGGTTGAGCCAAAGGTGTCAGAAGTTTGGTAGGTAGGAGCGGACCGTTCGGGACGTCCGTCCTTCCCTTGTTCTTATTCTTCTTACCTTTGAACCGGCCGCCCTTTCCGCCAGATTTCCTATCGGCATCTTCATCATCTGGGTCACCACGTCTTCCCTTGTCCTTCGTGTCTTCTTTCTTTCCATCTTCTTCATCTCTTTTCCTCTGTTCAGCGTCCTCTGCCTCAGCCTGACGGTCAGCCCGCCTCAGGGCTTCCTCGTATAAAGCGGGTGGATTCCTAACAAAATCCTTGTAAAGTTCTCCTGATCGGATAGAATTTGTCAGCATTGCCACTCCGGTCCTGTCGTCAATGCCCTGAACCTTGACCGACTCGACCCTCCATCTTGCCAGGAAAGTGGACAGGGCCTCTTTCTTTCCTTGCTTCAGGCTAAACAGGTGGCTGAAATTCTTCTTCACATCTCGTGAGCCGGCGAACCTCAAGAGGAAGTGCCTAGCCAACTCCCTGAAGTTCCCGATGCTCCCATCGGGCAGTGTGTCATACCATTCACGAGCCGGGCCATCTAGAGTAGCCGCGAATCCTCTGTATCGTATGGCATCTTCGTACCCCATCATGACCATATATGACAGGTAACGTGATATGTGGTGTTGCGGGTCTGAAGTGCCCTTGTAAGTATCCACATTGCAAGGTTTGTAGCCCCTTGGCAACGGAGCCTCCATTATGGCATGAGTGAAGGGCTCCGGGATATGGAGGTCGGCCACGTATGACTCTCCCCCAACAACCCTCCTCCTTAGCTCGTCCAACCTCAGTCTGAGATCCTCCACAGCTTCCGGCGCCGGTTCCTCTGGCACGCGTCCAGCACGGGGCTGGACCCGCACATAGGATTCTGCGACTCTTTCACGCGCGTGAGGCCGACGGCCACCACGGGGGCCTTCTATGGAACCGGTTCGACCGCTCAGACGACGGGGGTGATGAGAGAAGTCATCCCCGCCCTCCAGTGACGAGTCTCGGTGGGGCCCTCCTCTTTCGGGTCGTCGAGGCTGCTCGACCCGTCGGGACATATGCTCCCTCCGGGGCAAGGATTCCCTTCGTGATTCGTCCAAACTAGTATGTCGCCCTTCATATCTCCCAGAGGAAGTCTCGATGTCTTCAGGGGCGGCGTGCCTCGGAGTTTCATGATTAGCTCTCTGCGGCATCATCCCCAGGAAATTCTGAGCCAAAGCCCCAATGGCACGCGTGGCCTCCTGTAGCGCCCGCACTCCAGCGTGGATTAATTGGGCCAAGCCCATTAGTATTCAAGAAACCTCTTGTAAGCGCCTATAAATAGGCCGCCCCTCTTTTTGTATTGGATAAGTCACTTTTACTGTACTGAATTGCTGCCGAATTTTCTACTCAACATATTTTCTACCAACAATATATATATATATATATATATATATATATATATATATATATATATATATATATATAAGAAAGATAAAAGATTAAAAGATAAAAGAGCATAAAAAGCTAGAAGATAAAAATAACGTAAGAACATAAAAAGATAAAGAAGATAAATGATAAAAGAAAAAGAGAAGAAAAAGAAAAAGAAAAAAGACCAGCCGTCCACACGAATGTGCGTCCTCCACTTTGCCCTCTCCAAAGCCATACTCTCGTCCAACCCAAGAAGACGCATATCAGTTTTGATTCCTCTAATCCAAGTCTATTTGAGTCTTCCTCTCCCTTTTCTATTTGTCTCTTCTCCCCATCCCCTCAAGTTGCCTAACAGGTTTGACTTGACATACAAGCGGAACTACATACTTTATTACATCTAAGAATATTATTATTGCGAAGACAATGAAAAACAAGATTGCCCGGGTGATCGAGTCGATTATGCCAAGTTTCAATAGAAACAACAACACAAGTCGTAGGCGGGTGGCAGGATGAAGAAGGAGACGAACAAAGAGGATACAGATCACCCGAACTAGGACACTTTATAAGCAGCTTCCCCATGCGGAGTTCCTTCGCATAAAAACCAAACGGGTCAAACTCAATAGAAACATGATTGTCACTAGTTAGTAGGGACGGACCTATGGACCTATGCTATCACCTAGGGGGGCGTTCCCCCTAACTTTTTTTTACCTAGTAGTATTAGTTATTATTTTTTTGCCCCTCCCAAACCTTTTGTTGTGGACTATTATATTACGTAGTACTTCCATATGATGAACTCATGAAGCATAAGGTCAAGTGCTCAACACTCTTAAAATAACGGAAGGCCAAGACAGTTGGGCCTAATTGCCTAAAGCCCTATTACTCTATTAGATCCAGTAAGTTATAGTCCAATACTCTAATTCAACTTTTAATAGAAAAATAGGTTTGCACACTTGCAGGAGCCGCCGATGGGATCGTGAGCTGCTCGCCTGCTCGGCTGCTGAGACTCCGGACTCGCCTGAGAGCTTTTTCCACCAACCGGAGAACAACGACAAAATTATTTAGCATTCCATCACCTGCTCCTAAGGTAAAATATTAAACTTTAGTGATTATTAAAATTGTATGTATTTTAAGCATTTTGACTTTTTCATCTACTACGTATTAGATATGAGATTCTTTATTTGTTATTACTGTTATAAAACTTAGGAATACAGCCTATGAATATGAGATTCTAATTTTTTTGAAAAAATCTAATGCTTGAATTATTAATTCAAAAATGAGTGATATGCTATTTTTTGGCATTTTTTGAGAAAAAAGACATTTTTACACCGATCAGAGGTAGTGTAAAATGGCATTTTTTATAGAGAAAATGTCATTTTTACAGAGAAAAATGACATTTTTTACACCCTGCCCCCCCTCAATGATATTCTGGCTCCGTCCCTGCTAGTTAGGCTATGAACAAAGATTAAATTTTTGACCAAGTGAGGATCATGTAATACATTAGGAAGTAAAACAAAGGGGATGATGGGCGGGTAGGGTGGTGTGGGTGTGACCCTAAATGGGATTTTTTGACCATTGCCTACAATGATACGGTTTTGAATAGTATTATGAGAACAAGGTGTAAGAGTACCTCCTTTAGAAGTCATGTGCGAGGAGGCGCTCGTATCCAAATACCAGTTGTCATCCGACTGGGTAAGAGAGAAAGTGTGCATGGCATTGGAGACATCTATGGCAACGTGAGCATGGGAAGGATGAGGCACAATAATTCCATCTGAGGGGGGAAAGAGGGCGTGGTGACAGAGTACCAGGCCATGGGGGGCAGATTTATACAGACATGGAGGGATAGCCCAAGGTGGCGGCCAGTATCCCCACAACGGCATAGACCATGGAGTGCCAGAACCTTTGTGGGAGGGAGATGAACGTCCGCAGCCACCACGAGTAGAACCACGACCACGTCCGCCGGGGCGAACGACCGGTGGAGTGGGTGGAGGTGGAGGTCCGATGTGAACCAAAGCAGTGTCGACTCCTTGATGATTCTTGCATGTTTCCTCCGAGGTTACCATAGAGCGTGCTTTGTAGAAGTGGGGCAGAGGTTCACTTTGTTGAATTATGGAGGCCATAGTGTCGTAATGAGCCGGTAATCCATTGACAAAGCACATAACAAGCCGGTGATTAGAAACCGATGAGCCAACACACTGCCCAGGTTATCAGAGAGGACCTTGAGAGCTTTTCTATAAGCAACAACACTAGAGAAATTTTCCAACCGGGTATTGGAAAATTGGTTCTCAAGATGGATGACACGGGAATTGCGTTTATTCTGAAAGATATTGGCGAGTCTGTCCCATGTTTGTCGAGCCGTTGAGTCTGGTTCAATGATCGTATGCAAGAGATCATGTGAAATCGTGCCATGGATCCATTGGAGGACTATGGCATCAAGCCTGTGCCAGAGGGCTTTGGACTCCGTCTCTGCGGCGAGTTGCTGGAGAAGTTGTTCCGGAGTTGGGGGAGGAGATGCGTCAGGCTGGGAAATGTCATCAACATCATCAGAAGAAGGGATGATGTGATCATAACCCTGATATGCACGGGTGGTTATCTTAAACAACTCAGCACAGGAGGAATAATCCACATTATCAATTTCAAGAGTAATAGGAACAATTTTTTTAATGTTGGATACAGTTAAAGCAGGGTGAAAAGCAGAAGTTTTTGAAGAGGTAGTCGTGAAAATGGCTAGAGAAGAAAGGTTAAGCAGCTGATACCAAGTTGAAATTCAATGTGGTCTGCATCTATTCATTGTATCAGTACATATTTATATACGTGAGTATTACATGATAAGAATCCTCAACGAATTGAAGTCTGTCAGCTATACATTTGGAAGGAAATAATATTAATCTAAATAATACAACCACTATCTGTATCGTAAGGAGAGTAAAATAATATCTATACGTGCGTGACTTGTCTTTAGGCGTGTGTGCACATGCATGTAAATATGTACGTAAATTCTGTACGTTAACAAGTACAAAACGTATGATATAGAGCTCATTTGATGACACTGAAATTGGCTTAATTGGCTGATTCTGCTGAAAGTTATGAAGTTTTGACTTAAGTGGCTGTGTTGGCTGATTATGTTGATTTATGAAAATTATATATTTAAAATATTTGTTATTAATAAATAAAATACAAAATTATATACAAAAATAGCTAAAATGATCTTCTACAGTAACTTAAGCCAATACAGCCAGAAAAGTAACTCCAACCTTACTTTTTCTTATTATTACACAATCCAACACGCAAAATCAAAAGTTTACGTGTTTGGTGAAAAAACTGACCGATAAGCCGAAAAAATGGTTATCAAACGGGCTCATATTGTTAAACCAATGCCAAAGATTTTAGGAAAACAAGGAGTTGTGTAAGAAGTTCATTTGCTGTGGGGGCCCTTTAACAAGTATAAGAGGTTGCTTCTATCATTTTTCTTCGATTAAAGTAACTTGAAGTTAGGATTTCATATATGCCTCCATGGTAATAACTAATGAGTGTATCATTCAATTATACTACCTCCGTCCCTTAAAACTTTGCCAAGTTTGACCGACACGATGATTAATAAAGTAAAAACTGTGTGATTGAGGTTTGTGCAGAGGAGAGAGAATTAACTGGAACCACAAATTCTTTACTTAAAAGGGAAATTGGCAAAGTTAGTGGGACATCCAAAAAAGAAAAGTTAGCAAAGTTTTAAGAGACGGAGGGAGTATCAGAACAATCGCTCATTAAGACATCATCCCCGCAGCAATCCACCAATCGTTGATTCTAACACGAAGTGAGGACCTTCATGGTGGGAACCATTCAAATTTGAAAAATACGAAGGCTATCAACAAGTGTACTCTTGGCAAATTTGATTGAAGAAGAAAAGAGAGTTTCTTAAATGATGTTGGCCCCGAGTGATGCTAGATAAACCCTTGGACTTAAGGTCGGATCCAGTCAAGTTTGACTTTGCGCACTCTTCTAATTATTACCTCCATTGCCTTCACAAATTTAATCATGTATGTCAAAGTGCACTGGTAAGCTCAACATGCTCTGGGATCTTTTTCGAAAGAAGAATGGATTGATGAATGAATGAGCTAAAATACAAGGCTCCTCTCCAAGAGATATATGAAATATTAAGGCAACCAATCTCTATTGATTTGATGTTATTCTTCAAATTACTACTTCATTTGATCAGCGCAATATATTTTACGCGACACTCAGCAGTTTGTTTAGGAAAAGCAACCTCATTAAGAGGTTTGCATGTTGGTAAAGGAACCCTCGTCTCTGCTTAGAGAGAAGCAAGGTTGACCTCACATGGATGGTTGAGATTGTGACTCTCAACAAAGAGTACAAAATATGTGCTTTTGACCATCAACACACTTATTATTATGGAACTTATAAAAAGACAAAATGAAAATTGTAATACACGTACTTTTAACAGAAAGTTAATTGAATTCACATACTCTTGTTCGAGTCAATTAAGTCCGTCAACTATCAAAAAATGACCAAATCAGCTTTTTAACAGGTAATCAACTGATTACCCGGTTAAACGCCTACGCGGACGTTCCAACTGGCGTTGTTTTATTGTTTTCCCTTTTTCCCTTTCCTTTCCTTTCTTTTTTCCTTTCCTTTTCTCTTTTTTCTCTTTTTTCTCTTCCTTCGTCTTTCGTCTTGGTCCGCTACTCCGCTCCTCTCCGCCTTTCTCAGTTTGGCAGCCCTCTTCTCCTCTCCCAGTCTGGCAACCCTCTTCTCCTCTCCCAGTCCAGCATCCCTCTTCTCCTCTCCCAGTCCGGCAATCCCCTGCTCTCCACCATAACTCTGACTACTCTGTCAATCCCACAGGAACAAACTTCGCCCCCAGGCCTCTCCGGCCACCACCTCCGCCGCCCAGGCCTCTAGCTCCAGCCACCACCTCCACCGCCCAACCTCCATAGCCACTGCCTCCGGAGTACGACCTCCACCTTCACCTCAACCGCCTCTTATTCCGTACACATCGCCACCGGCCACCACCTCCGTGGCCTTCGCCTTTGCCTCGTCCATTGAAGCGACCTCCAACCTCCCCGGCTTCCGTAACTGCCGCCCTGAGCCCCTAACCACCGTATCCACAGCTTCCGACTTTCACATCCACGGTCTCTACATCCACCTCTTCCATCGGACGACCTCCAACCACCCCAACATCCATAGCCGCCACTGCCACCTCCACAGATATGTAGTTGCAAACGAAGGAAGGAAACAAATAGATGGAGGGGTTGTAGATGCAGAAGAGGAGCGGACCAAAAGAAGAAAGAGAAAAAAGGAAGAGAGAAAGGAAAAAAGAAAAAAGTAATTGCCCCATATAGGACTAAAAGAGAAGAGAAATTCTCAAATAGGATCATGTATGTTTTTTCCTCCAAATACGACTCATTTACTCCTATTCTAAAACACGCGTAAATTTCATTCCCCATTTGCCCCTGATTTATACTGCCCGATCTACTTCTCTCCTGTGCACACATAGATCTCTTCCTCCTACGCACAATTCATCGCCATGGTACTCCTCCCTTCACGCCACCGCTTCCGACTTCCCTGTGCACCATCGCCATTGCCATAGACTCTTCTCTGCCTTGCGCCGCACCAGATCGATCGTTCTCCCTGCGCACCATCATCCATTCGTCTTTGTACATCGCTGTCAGGTTTCTTTTTCTTCTTCTTCTTCCTCTTCTTCCTCTTCCTCTTCCTCTTCCTCTTCCTCTTCCTCTTCCTCTTCCTCTTCCTCTTCCTCTTCCTCTTCCTCTTCCTCTTCCTCTTCCTCTTCCTCTTCCTCTTCTTCTTCTTCTTCTTCTGCTACTTCTTCTTCTGCTGTTGCTGCTGCTGCTTCTTCTTCTTCTGCTTCTTCTTCTGCTTCTTCTTCTTCTTCTTCTTCTTCTTCTTCTTCTTCTTCTTCTGCTTCTTCTTCTTCTTCTTCTTCTTCTTCTTCTTCTTCTTCTTCTTCTTCTTCTTCTGCTTCTTCTGCTGCTGCTTCTGCTGCTGCTGCTTCTTCTGCTTCTTCTGCTTCTTCTTATGTTGCTTCTTCTGCTTCTCCTCCTCCTCCTCCTCCTCCTTCCTCCTCCTCCTCCTCCTCCTCTAATTTTCTGAAATGTACATATATTTTTCTGATTTTCCTTCTATTCTTCCATTTTTCTGGGATTTGACATTGATTTTATTATTTTTCGGACTACTATTTCACCGTTCTGAACTTCTGATTTCTGATTTATTAGTTAAAAACGATTTCCCAAAATTTTGGATGATAACTTCACATTTTGCCAAGTTTTTGGCAGAAATGTGTATTAATCTGCCAATTTTGTATAAATCTGCCAATTTTATGGCAAAAGGGGTTTTGTATAAATCTGCAAAATAAATCTGCCAATTTTAGGGCAGTTTTGAAAATTCATTTTCATGAAAGATTTGTAATTAATCTTCAAGGCTAAATCTGTCAACTTAATGGCAGATTTATGACGATGGAGTTGTGACGGCGGTGGCAGCGCTCTGGGTTGAAGTTATGGCCCCGAAATTGACACTGGCAACAATTTTGATAAAAGCGGTGATGGTGACCAAAGTGGCAGCGCCGACTGTGACGATTGGGCGGCAAAGACGGCAGAGAATAGCCGCGGTGGCGGCAGATGGCGATGCTGGTGGGCTTGCTAAGGATGGAGACGCCCGTGTGGGAGGTGGCAGTGAGGGTGGACGGCCGGAGGCAGGCGACGCATTGCATGGGGTGTTTTTCCATTTTCGGTTGCCCAAAGTTTCGGCTCACAGACCTCGTGCAACGTGCAATTCCTTCTCAAGCATTAGTTGAAATATTATAACAGGGGTATTTTTGTCCAATAAAGCTATTTTTGGTCCTACGAAAGTTGTGTTTCGTTTGTGGTCCTAAATGTGCAATTAACTTTGCTATTAGTCCTATTTGAGTCATTAACTCAAAAGAAAAAGGAAAGGAAAAATAAAAAAATTGGAAAACAGTAAAAAAACGCCTGCTCGGACATCCACGTAGGCATTTAATCGGGTAACCTGTTGACTACCTATTAAAAAGCTGATTTGGTTGTTTTTTGATAATTGTCGGACTTAATTGACTCGAAAAAATGTACATGAACTCAATTGACTCTTAGTTAAAAATACGTGGACTTATTTGACACTTTTCCCTAATACCTAACTACCTATCACTTTTCTAATTTAAGTTACCTTTATTGATAAATATTATTCACGTGTCTAATCAGTACAATTATTGTACTCGTTTTTTATACTCCCTCCGTCCAGCTCATTTCTTTCAAGTTTCTTTTTTGGGCCGTCCCAATTAATTCTTCCGACTTCCACTTTTGGAAAAAATATGTGGTTCACATTCATTCACCTTTTTCTTACACAACTACAACCATACATTTCCACTTTATTCTCACTTTCTAAATTTGCGAGTCATGTCAAACTTGGAAGAAATGACCGAGAGGGAGGGTGTAATTTTATTCTCCGCCCAAAACAAGTACTAACTCTCTTCATGGGATACTGAATACATTTCTTTGAGCTTGTGTTATTGAGTATACTTTTTCCCATATGATGTGATAGTACTAATGGTTATATTAACATAACCTAACAAGAATGGTGATGGTTGAGAATGAAGGTCATTGGGCTGGTTGTTATACAACCATTCTTTGGAGGGGAAGAGCGGACTGAGGCGGAAATAA